CTGCTTTGGGGGGGGGACGGGGATTCCCCCGCAGCCCCCTCCCCTCCCGGAGCCCCCCCATCAAAACCAGCACCGAGGGCCCCGGAGCTGCGGCAGCGCCGGGGGGGAGCAGCGGAGGCACCTTGGACCAACGGCCGTTCCCTCGGCTTGTAATTTTTCCTTCATTTTCCTTTTTTTTTTTTCCTTTTCTCCTCTTTCCACGTGTTTTTTTGGCTTGTTTTGTTTTGTTTGGTGTTGGTTTTTTCCTTTTTTTTTTTTGTTTTGTTTTTTGGGGGTTTTTTTGTTTGTTTTTTTTGATGCAAACTCCGGGCACCCGAACTGGAACCGGCCCCGAGCTGGCGGCTCCCTGACAATTAGGGAATATTTTCTCGGTTTTGCCGATTTCTGACCGTTTTTCCCCCCTCCCCGTTTCCCGCCGGAAAGGGGGAGGCGCCGGCACAAAGCACAAGGAAAAACTCGACGGGGCGAACCATCTTCCACTTCTCTCCAAATAAGGCGCCTCCGGCCCCGTTTCACTAGGACCCGCCGGAATCCGCCCCTTGGCTTCACCCAAATTGGATTTTCCGGCCCCAAATCCGTGGCCACGCCCGGCCCCGGCACCTTGGGGGTGGATTTTGGAGGTTTATTGTTATTTTTTGCCTCCTTTTGTCTTTTTATAACCCCCTGGGCCTGGCCCTGGCGCTGCCTGGTCCCTACAACCACCTCCTATTAAACACATTTTTCCACTCTCAAATAGTCTTTTTTTTAAATTCTTTTTCACTCCCTCAGCTCAGTCCCGCCCTTCCCAGAATTCCGGTTTTTCACCCCGTTTTCCCACAACTCTGAACTCCATCGCTCTCATTCCAAAGTTTTGCCTCTTCTTCTCCAACGGTTTCACCATTTTAGGACTTTTCTTTTTTCTTTTTTTTTTTTCTTTTTTTTTTTTTTTTTTTTTTTTTTTTTTTTTTTTTTTTTTTCCTTTTAATCCATTTTTGGGAGCCCAATCAGCTGCCTCCTTAATTTATTACCATGGATCCGGCATCTCCCACTCTCCATATTTATTGGGAAGTGAGGAACAGCCGCAGAGCCCTGGGGGACCCCCGCACCGCAGGGACGCTGCTGTCCATCCGTCCATCCGGCCCCATCGCGCTGCTCCCACTGCTCCCGCTGCCGTCGCTGTTTTTAAAGGGATTTTTAAAGCGAATTTCTTCCATTGATCCCGTTTTTAAGCCTTCTCCGTCGCAAAGGACCCGGATCCCTCACTCAATCACACGGGAGCAATAGTCCTTCCTCGATGGCTGATGTGTCCGTACTGTATTTTGTACCCTCAGGCAGCTCTTTCCGGTGAATTCCTGCTGTATCCACCCATCCTCCTGGTCCTGTGTTCTTTGCCACGGAGAAAAACCATAAACCACGACGGCGACAATGGATTTGGGGGGAAAAACGCTCCCACCTCCGCGGGACTCACCGGCGTCCAGCCGCGGGACCTCTCCTTTTATTTTTGAAGAGGATGAGAGATATATATATATATATATATATATAAAAATATATATATATTCCTTTGGGTTTCTTTCTTTTGGCTGAATTGCGGTGATTTAGCCTTATTTCTACTCTGGGAGAGCGGCAGAATCACTGCTGGCCCGGCCCAGCTCTGGGAGCTGGCTAGAAATACATGGAAGAGGAAAAAAAAAAAAAAAAGGCAAAACCACCAAAATCCAGTAATAAACCCAAAAAAGCTCCCGGCGTTGGCTCAGGGAGTCTTTCCTGGCCAGAGAAGTGCTGGATCCATGGACAGAATCTCCCACAGCTCCATTTGGGTGGGAAGAGCAGAGCACGTCGGGGGAAGACAGCAGAAAAAACAGACAAAATGAGATAAAATAGGGAAAAAAGGGGATTTGAGGTGCCAGCTGAAACAAGGGGAGCGGCCATGGGGGCTGCCATGGGGGAGGGGATCTTGGGGGAGAATTTTTGGGTTGTTTTTCTCTTGGAGTCCCCCAGGAGCCGTTGGGTGTTTCCCAGGAAAGCAGGACAACGCCGGCATCTCCCCTGAACCCCCTTCCCATCTCTGTGTGTATAGACATGGCTGTGTGTACATAGCTCAGATTCGGTTGGGTTTTGGGTTGAATTCTGTAGAAAATGGGCAAATTGCTTTTTTTTTTTTTTTATTTTTAAACCACAAATAGGGAAAAAATATCCCAAATTCCTGGTACTTCCAGCTTTGCTGCCCCAGAGGGGTTGATGGAGAATGCGATGATGGCTTTACAGACAGAATATTGTAAGTCTTGTACAATGCCCCAAAACCCAGTGGAAAATACCCCAAATGGCTGGGTCTGGAGTGGGTGGTGCTTCCAGGGCAAGTTCAAACAGCTTCAATTCGTTTTGCCCTAAAAAACATGGAAGAAAATTCGGATTCTCCTGCCTGTTTCCAGGCGATTTGGGAGCGGTGTAGGATGGTTTGGGGGGCAGTGCCAGTGGCGGCTCCTCATGTTGGTGACAAAACCAACCCAACCCCTCACTGGCCTCTCATAAAAAAGCAAAAAGTGGAAAAAAATCGCAAAAAAACTGGAAAAGATAAAAAAAAGCAGCTGAGAGAGCACTGGGGGTACGCAGGGTGGTGCACCACGGAGCTCAGTAGGTGTTCCCAGTGGGAAATCCCAGCTGGCTTCATGGATGCTCCCAGATGTTCCTGCAGGGCGAGGCCACAGGTGCCATCGCCCTCCTTATCCTCGCGGAGCCGGTAGAGCCAGCGGCACTGGAGCCAAGCCACGGGGTTGGGTGTTGGCAGGAGAACCCAGATCCAGGCAGGACAGCCAGGAAGGAGCACTGCACAGCCTGCAGCCCCCGGGGTTCAGCCCCACAACAGCGGCCCCAGGGGGCTCTGGCCTCGGAGCAGCAGCTGAGAGGCAGCTGGTCCAGCACAGGTGGCTCACCAGGCCCCAGCACACGGGTCAGCCCAGCCAGGAGGCTGGGACAGCATCAGTGGGGAGAGCACTGGATCCTCCTCCAAGAGCCAGGCGCTCCCAGACTTGGATTCTCTGACAGCTGGGTCCTCCAAGAATTGTATCCAAAAGCTGGATCTTCTGAGTTGGATCCTCTGAGAGCTGGATCCTCCAAACACTGGACCCTCCTCTTTGAGCTGGGTTCTTCTCCAAGCAGCAGATCCTCCTCGGAGAACTGGATCCTCTGACAACTGGATCCTACGAATGTCGGATCCTCCTCCGAGCACCGGATCCTCCTCAGAGCAGCAGATCCCAGGAGCGCCACCTCCCTCCCCGAGCGCTCGCCATGATGTCCCTTTGCCGAAAAGAGAAAAAAAAAATAAAGTTTTATTCCTGTTATTTTTTTAATGAAAGAAAAACAAAAACTAAAGCAAACCTGCACTTTAGGCAGCCGGGGGGACCGGGGCCCCCGTGTCCCTTCCCTGCAGCCGGCGGGGCGGCTCCAGGGGCCGGAGGCAGGTCCTGGGTGTTACCACTAGCGCAGATGAGGCCGACGCGACGAACTCCTCCTGCTCCGAGCACTCCTGACGTAGCAGATTTTTGCAAATGGAGTTTTACAGTCTATATTTAAAGAATTGTATGTTTGTAACAAATAAAGTATGCGGAAAAGTGAATGAAAACGAGCCTGGGCCTGACTCGCTCCTTGGGGGTGCCGTGGGAGGCTCTGGAGGGTGGAGGTGGTGCTACCACTGTGGTGAGGGGTGGGGTGGTCACCCTGTAGCTCTACAGGGACATGCAGGATGCGAAGGTGGCGGGGGCACAAACAGGGAACGTTGGGTCCCCCATCTTGTCCTGAGGGGATCGTCTGGCTCAGAGGAGCTGGGGGTGTGAGGTACCAGTACAGTGGGGAGGGAGAAGGTTTGGCGTGGCTTAGACATGTTGTGTCACAGCTCAGGCTGGTGTGTGCACAGGAATAACGCGTGTGTGGGTGTGTGCGAAGTATGCGAGGTGTGTGTGTGTAAGGTGAGTGTAAAGAGAATATAAGGCATTTGTGCCATCACATGGCTGCCTGCTGTGGGTGTGTGTGTGTAAAGTGTGTGTAAGGCGTGTGTGCCATCACATGGGGGCTTGCCGTGTGCGGGTGTAAGGCTGGGAGGGTTTGGCGTGGCGCGTGTGCGGTGTGTGTGCCATGGCTCAGGCAGGTGCGCGCACAGGTGTGTGTGCACAGATGCGAAAGGGTTGTGTGCCACACACACGACTGCGCGGTGTGTCAGGTGTGCGTGCCATCACACGGCTGTGCCACACGTGCAGGTGTGTGTAGCGGGGCTGTGCCGCGGC